GAACGTTCCCTCAAGTCTGGAGCTGTTGAGATGTGACCTTCAGAAGTTCTTGAACGACACAAAAACAAACAAGGAGCCGCCACGGCGGCGAGTGCAGGGAGTTTCTCAATCAGTGAATATTTGCATATCCTTGGATGAGAGATATCAGTGGCACCAAGGGTTGTTATTAATCAAAGCCCACCGAGAGTCTCCTCCTGGGCAAACACCGCTCATGACGTGCCTTGGCTCTGCCTTGGTGTCCCACCAAGACTCACTCGGGCTTCATCAAACCCCAGCTTCTGCTCAGCACAGTTTGGAGGGGTTCAGGTGATCCAGGTGGGAGGGGGAATTCAGACAGGAGGAGAGACCCTCCCATGGCACTGCAAAGATGTCACATCCAACCCATCCATTCTTTCCAACCTAACCACCCTTCCCAACCCAACCAATCTTTCTAACCCGACCCAATATTTCCAACTCAGCCGTTCTTTTCAACCCAACCATCACTACCAACCTATCCATTCTTTCCAACCCATCCAATCTTTCCAACCTAATGACCCTCTTCAACCCAACCACCCTTTCCAACCCAATCACTTTTCCAGCCCATCTATTCTTTCCAACCCATTCAATCTTTCTAACCCAACCCAACATTTCCAACTCAGCCATTCTTCTCAACCCAGCCATCATTACCAACCCATCCATTCTTTCCAACCCAATCACTTTTCCAGCCCATCTATTCTTTCCAACCCATCCAATCTTTCTAACCCAACCCATCATTACCAACCCACCCATTTTTTCCAACCCAACCACCCTTTCCAACCCAATCACTTTTCCAGACCATCTATTCTTTCCAACCCAACCCAGCATTTCCAGCTCAGCCATTCTTCTCAACCCAGCCATCATTACCAACCCATCCATTCTTTCCAACCCAACCACTCTCTCAACCCAACCACCCTTTCCAACCTGTCCATTCTTTCTAACCTATTGTTCTTTCCAACCCAATCTTTCTAACCCAACCCAACAAACAGCAAACCAGTTCCCCTGATCCTGCAAATATTCCCAAAGCTGCCCACATCCACTTCTGCCTGTTCCATCCTGTCTAACCGCTGCCTTTTTTGATGCTGGAGGTTTGAAACCTCCCCTCAATCAACTGACAAAAACATTTTCAATTGAGCTGCAGCAGCTCCGTGACCCCTTGTGCACCTTTTGTCTTTCAAAGCGCAGCCAGGTGCTGCAGGAGGGAATATCTGAGGACTTGGAAATGGTTTCTTCCCCTTTTGCTGCCGCGGTGTCCGCGGGGAGCCGAGCGCCAGGATGTGCTGCACAAATCCATTTGTTCCAGTAAACAGCCCCAGGCGCTTGTGAACCATGGGGGAATCCTTGGAGGGTTTGTTCCTCCTTGCAAATTTAAAGATATGAGCTCAGGAGGGACCAGAAGCTTCTTCCTGGCCTGAGGCCAAGCATGCAAAAGTGTACAAACAGACGCTGACAATTTTGTACACAACACCAAGGAAAAGAACAATAAAAACGGCTGAAACAAATAATATTTGAACTAAATGGGACAGAGGGTCAGACTTATTGCATGGAGTGGAATCATGGAATAGTTTGGGTTGGAAGGGACCTTAAAGATCTCCAGGTTCCACCCTCTGCCATGGGCAAGGGCAGCTCCCACTCCGCCAGGTTGCTCCAAAGGCATCCAACCTTGAACAATTCCAGAGATCTTCAAAGTCTTTCCCAACCTTAATGATTCCATGATTCATCCAGCTCTGGGTGAATCCCCCTGGAAAACGCAGCAGCAAAGCCAGGACCAACATTTCTGTATTTCACCACTCACCAAATTCCCACCTTTCTGCTGAGGCTGGGACAGTGACAGGAGTTTCCTTGTAAGAACTTGATTTTAGTTTATTTTTCCAAGGCCCCATCACCTTCCCCATGAAAAACTCTGTTTGAGAGTTTGGTGGCTGTGAAAATAAAACTAAATAAACTAAACCTTGCTGGCAGTGCTGGGACAGGCTGAGCCTGACCCTATTACTGCTGTGACACGAATTCCATTAAAATCTGCCGTGGCACGGAGATAAGTTCCTATTGAAGAGCGGGGTTGGCAGTGAAATTCCAGCAGAGCCTCAAGTCAATGGCAAGTTCAGCCCCCCTTGTCCTTGAAATAATGATTTGGCCATGGTGGCTGCAGGTCCGGGGCGTCACACAGAGCAGCACAAAGTGATTTTTTCCAAAAGATGTCCCTGGAGAAGGGCTGAGGCAGGGGGAGGAAATGAGGCTGACATTGCCCTCAATGCAGAGAACAACAAGCACAGCTGGATTTACTCGGCTTCTACAGCATGGGAGGGGTTTCAGCAAAGTTCAGCTGCTTTTTAGGGCATCAGAAAATGCTTTAAGAGGCACATAAAAATCTGGAAAAAAACCCCAAGATCTGGTAATAATCCTGCTTTTTCTGGTGTTTATAACAGCAGCAGCAGGGAATGCTCACGTCATGGTCCAACCTCTTTTCGATCTACCTGACCTCAACTTTCACCGGCTGCACAAAGTGCTGTCTGAGGCACAGTCTAATTAGCCCTGAAAAATCAGATTCATCCAAAAGAGCAGCACAGGGAAGATCCAGCTCCTGCCCCATCAGCTCCATAGCTCCAAACATCCAGCATCAGTTTGGGATCATTAACGTGATGAGGCTGGGTCCGGTCCGGTCCCCCCGTGCCAACGAGCATCAGCCACCACCAATTTAACTCAGTGAATCTGTCAAGTTATTTCCAGGGTTAACAACTCAACGGTGTTTAAAATATGAATTCCATGTCTGGCCTGAACTTGGCTGCTTTCAGGTCCCCCCTCTTGGGTCTTGTGATGCTTTTGTCAGGCACATTAAACAGCCCCGATGATCAGAACCGTCCTCCCCACGTGGACGGGGATGAACCACATCAAGTTACCTTTGGAAGGATTTTTCTCCTCAAATTAAGGTAACAAGGACTAAACCACACCAGGGCTGGTTCCACCACGGGGAGAACCTGAGCAGAGAAGGCTTTCAAAGGCACAAAGGAGCAGTTAAATGCTCGTTTCCCACTGAAAAAATCACGGGCCCCTGGGTGTTCTGCTCCGTCTGTGGAACTTTGAAAGCTTCCTCCCCTGTCTTGGACAGATTAATGGGAAATAATAAAAATATCATTGAAATGTGGAGTCTCGGGGAGGTGATTCAACCCTCAGTCCCAGCTGCCACAGTTGTCAGTAAATTAGGGGAAAAAAGAAACACAAAATGATCCTTTTCCAGTGCCTCCAATTATGCTGGGATGGTTCTGCCTCTGATGAGAGATTCTGAGAGCGTTTCCCCTCATCCAGGTGGGAAACTGCTCGGTGAGGAGTGGAGAGCTCAGGGAAAGGGGGGCAAAAGAGGACAGCCAGCGACTGAGGGTGTGCCAATGTCAGATCTCAAGATCTCAGTCCAGAGGTGCTGAGCCACCGAGACCACCTTGGGGGGCTCGGGACTCCTAGAATGTTGCCAGAAGTGTCTGGTAGCTGGACTTTGGTCCTACACAGGAGACGACAAAGATGAGAGTTTCACCGAGGTGAATGGTGAAGAGATTAGTTAATTAGAGAGTGAGACACAGAGTTTAAGATTTATGTACAGAGAAGTTTAGAGGAGTAAGATGGAGGAATTGAGGTATGTCTTCTCTTTCTTCTTCTTCTTCTTCTCCTCCATCTTCTTTGGTGATGGTGGCACTTTTAGATTAGTTATTACTGAGAGTGCACTGAGTAATAAGAATAAATAGTATTAGAGAAAAATGATAAATATTGTACACGTAACAATGAGTATAAAGATACGTAGCTGCCCCGGAGGGCAGCACAGTGTGCTCATGGCTGACTGCTGAGCAGATCTCTGTTCGGCTGAAAAAACATCTTTTAGATAAACAATTAATAAACATAAAAACCGAAAGAAGAACTGAAGCCTCTTCTCGTCCTTCGATACACGGGCTCCCCCAAAGCCACCTCGGGCCTTTCCAGGCCCCTCAAACAGCCGAGATAACCAGACATGCCAGGACAGTGAGAGTGCCACCAGGAGCTTGGTGACATCCATCATCCGACAGGGAAAACACAGCCAGGGAAAGACACAACCTCTGTCTCCCCTGCACCGGCTGCTCCCAGGGGAAGGCTGTCAGGAACAGAGAGTTCCCAACAAAGCCGAGGAGAGAGAAAGAGAGACACAGCACAGGAAAAGTAAAAAAATGACACATTGCAGGTGCATAAAATAAAACAAATCCTGATTTTAGAGCCTGGGAAACACAAACACAAGCACACACACATGGCTGAGCCGCCCCGCCTGCTCAGGTGCTGTTAAATCCTCCCGGATCTGCCTCATTCCTCCCACCAGGATGTTCATTAACTGCACAGCATTCCAGTTCCGCATATTCTTAAATAAAACAGCTTTGATGTTCTTGTGTTGTAAATGTGAAACTTTGAACTCTACGAGGGGATTTTGGGCTGTGGAGTCGAGAACTTTGAACTCCAAGAGAGGATTTTGGGCTGTGGAGTCCAGACCTGGGGTAGGAAAAGAGGGAATGGCTTCCCACTGCTGGGGTACAGGGTTTGATGGGATTTTGGGAAGGAATTCCTGGCTGGGATGGAATTTTGGAGAAGTTGGAATTCCAACCCTCATTCTGGTCTGAGCTTGGGTTTTGCACGTGGATGTGGCTGCAGGGAGATGAAGTGTGAAATGCTCCATGCATCCACGGATACATTAATTTAATATATTCAATACATTCTGCGGACAAAGAGTTCCCGGTTTAGTTTTTGATCTCAGCCTTTCTTTGCCTCCACCGGCGTTAAAAATCCCAGAATTAAAGGAAACAGAGTAATTGAAATCCTTCCCTGCTAATACACATGGGCAGCCATTTGGAAATGGAGCTGTTATTACAGAAACCTAATTAAATAATTTTCTCCGCTTGCCCCCCAGCTATGAAACAACCGTAACGTGTGGTGACTTTTCTCCAAGCAGCCACCGTGAAATCAGCACAAATTTTCCGTCAGAAAGGGACAGCTGTGGCCATCAAACCAACGAGTGCTGTTACACCTGGGCAGCCTCAAAAAGTGCATTTTTCATGTGGAGTGCGAGGGATTTGTTCTCCTGAGCCTGGACCATGCAGAAAAGGAGCTACAAAAAATTTATTTTCTCCATGAAGAAAAAATTCCCTTTCTCAGTCGAGATAGAATTTCTTTTCCCGATTAAATTGTTGGTTGCTAAGGTCCTGGCCTTTTCCTTGGAGCAAACCAAGGCTGGTTTGGGGAAGTTCTGATCAATTTTCCTCTTGCTGGAGGTCGACTAACAAGAACCAGAGAGGTATAAAAATGGGCTGGAAAGGGGTGAGATCATGGGTGTTAATGAGGGAGGGAATAATGGAATTATTTGGGTTGGAAGGGACCTCAAAGCCCATCCCATCCCAT